TTAACTCTTTAGCCCATTCAGTATTAGCTAGAGTTGGTGAGTCTTTTTTGCTTACCTTCAAAAACCTAAGGATTGGTTTGGCTAAGTGGATTGGTAATAATAAATCCTCCTCAATTAGTGTTTTTGTGGATAATTGAATTTGTGACATTTAAACTTTGCTTCTATAGCTCTAATGATTTTTGATAATATTTTAACTAATTAAATTTATGGTATTCACATATCATTTAATCCACCCACTTAATGATTTTTGAGCCTAGAAGTCACATAACATACTCGAGTTAAAGAGTATTGTTTCTACTAAATCTGCTTACACCTTTTTATTGGACTATTCTAGAAATCTATTATATTAGTATTAAAGATCGTTGGCCTCGAAGCTTTTGTTATTGTCTTAGGTTAAATTATTTTGTTGGAAGCTTTTGTATTGCTACCTTCCCAAATCTAATAGATTAGCTAAACCTCTCTTATCCTTTTATATCGAATCTAACTCATTTTTTTCTAGTTTGATGAATGAAATATTAAAAAATGACTTACACAAACATACTATGAACACTGTTATAACTATCATTGCCATCAAATTATGGTTGATTTAAAGATCTACAAATGATATCCTTTATGCTAACACTATCAGTTCTCCTAATAGTAGTTATAGAGATCTAGAAATGAGATCCGCTCACTCCATTGGATTTCCTACTACTCTCATATAGCCCATGAATCAATAGTTGTGTTACAGGAATATCTTTTTATTTTTACAAATAATAAGTAGTAAAGATGAGATTGTGAGTCTAGAATCTTATAATAAATTATCAAGGAAGTGATAAATCTATGCAAGAATATACTATCGAGTTCCGACAATAAGTGGTGGCACTTGAAATTTCTCTTAATAACTATTCGATGGTGATAAAATATACCATCAGTCTCAAATAAACATAAAATTGAGTCTCTTCAAAACTTATGATATTACAATAGAGAGCATAATAGCATAACGATGATTGTGAAGAAAAATCAAACTCACACTAATAAGAACACAGATAAAACAAAAAGAAAACACCCAAAAGCAAAAAAAAACCTCGGGAGTAGTAAAATCCATCCAAAAATAATAATTTATTTTTCAATCACTATAAAATTATAGGTCATAAATGAAAGAAGTATTGAAAGATTCACGTACAAGTGTAAAAAGAGTAACTAAAATCAATATATAATAATCACAATCGAACTAGATTTTATTTCATATATGGATTCGAGTTTATCACTGATGGCTAGACCGATGGTTATAAACTTGAATTCGACCCCAGATCATAAGTTTAAAAAAAATTATTGATTCTCAAGATCCAAGTGAAATAAGAGGTTATGATATGATCAATGATATCGAAAGTCAAAAGAATCTCATTTAGACAAGTTTGGTGTAGAAATTTAAACTCGAGACCACTTCTCGTCTACAGCCATATCTACCGGAGTGAATCGACAAAGATGTCAAGACGAAGATAAATCACCAATACACAATCAAATTTACAATCATAAGCAATAAGTATATCAACAAAATGACATATGATGAGCGAGAAGTCATCTACTATGTCACCCGTTGACATATATATATATATATATATATATAATTTTGTCTTCTTCTTTCCATCTAATTTGAGTATGATTTTGAGAAATCATTATTAGCTCATATTATTATTTTAATAAAAGTTATTAGAAAACATATTTATAATAAAATTTATTTTTAAATAAAATATCGAAAAATTAATTTATTAACTTCTTTCACCGAGCCTGCCCTCCTCCGCCTCCACCTCCCCCTCACCCTCCGCCTCCGCCTCTGCCTCCCATGGAGTTGAGTCCTCTTTTGGGCCTTCTAACCCTAATCCTCCAGTTGCCACCCTTCTAAACCTCCCACTGAGCCCCTCAGCATGTCTTCTCGCAAAATTTTCCTCGTTTCCATCCTCCGCAACCCCAACCCGGCCTTCGACCTCAGCCCCGACGTCGCCGCCTCCCTCTTTCGCATTCTCGCCGCCCGCTCCCCCTCCTTCCCCGCCCTCCGCGCCTCCCACGCCCTCCTCGTCGTCTCTGGCGCCGTCCCTTTCCACAAGCAGGTCAACCGCCGCCTCGCTGCCCTCTACTCCCGCCTATCTCCCGACGACGCCGTCCTCCTCCACTGCCAGCTCCGCTCCCCCGATCCCATTATCTCCGGATTCGTTATCAAGTCCCTCGTCCGCCGCCGCCGTGACCCCTCGGACGTCGTCGCTTTCTTCTGCCGCCACGTCCACCCCGTCGGGTGCCGCCCCAGCCGCTGCACCTTCCCGCTCCTCATCACTTCGTCTAAGTTCTCCGAGTCCATCCACCAAGGTGAGATCCTCCACTGCCTTGCGCTGAAGTTGGGATTTTTGGGCCATTTGCCCGTCCCCAACTCCTTGATCCACATGTACGCGTCTTGCGACGGGTTGGACCTGGCGAGGCAGCTGTTTGATGAAATGCCCAAGAAAGACAGAGTCTCGTACAACTCCTTGCTCGATGGATATGTCAAAAGTTGCGATTTTGATGAGGCCGAGCGGCTGCTTCGGATCATTCCTGATTGGAATGTCATTTCCTGGTCTACTCTGTTCAATGGGTTTGTTAGGAACCAGATGTTCTCCAGGGGAATCAGTTTCTTTCAGCAAATGCAAAAGCTTGGGGTCGAGCCAGATGATTGCTCGGTGGTCAGTTTGCTGGTCGTCTACTCAAATTATGAGTTAGCACAGCATGGGAAATCGGTCCATGGGCTCTTGTTGAGGAGATGGCGACAGATTCCGCTTCATGTGAGTAATGCATTGGTCAATTTTTATTGCAAATGTGGATTGTTAGATGCAGCGGCCAAAGTATTCGAGAGAACCATGGAGAAGGATTTGATTAGTTGGAACACATTGATTTCTGGCTTTGGAAGTAATGGCCGTGGTGAGGAAGCACTTGGCTTCTTCAAAAGAATGTTGCAGGAAGGTACGAAACCCAATGATATTACGTTTATTGGTATCTTAGTAGCTTGTGCTCATTCAGGCTTGGTTGAGGAAGCGCTTCACCATTTTAAGATGATGAGCTCCGAGTTTGGTATGAAGCCAACATTTGCACATCACTGGTGTTTGGTGGATTTATATGTTCGTCTTGAAAGTCCTTGCGATGCACTGAAGGTGATCCAGGAGATGCCATTGTATAATCAGTCGGCCATATGGGGTGCTGTAATTTGTCTAGCAAAAGTTCGCGGTGATATTAGTGTAGGGGAGCGTCTAGGGAAACATTTAATTGAGCTGGAACCAGATAATAGCAGAAGGTATCTGCCTCTATTAAATATTTATACTGCAGCATCAAGATGGGATAAGTATAAGGAGTTAATGGAATTGATGAAGGCAAGGGGACTCAAGAAGTTGCCCGACTGTACACTGATAGACTTGAATCTTGTTGTTCACAAGTTCTTGGTGGGTGATAAATCCCAACCAGAAATCGAGAAAGTTTATGGAGTGTTGGAGAATATTGCAAACCAACTGAAATTGCAGCCTCCCAAGGCCGATGACGCCATGGTTGATGCAATTTAGAGACAGAAGGAACTTTTGGCGTCTACGGATTTTTCTGTCTGTTTAAGATGTTGCTAACCAGCAACAACAACATACTTTTAGCTTTAATTGATCGAGTGAGAAGCAATTTTGTCCAACGAGCTGGGTGTATGATGCATAGATATTTGGGAGTAACTATTGGAAATTAAAGTCTGGTCAGGCTTTCTAAGGTACTCGATGCAGACTTGATCATCTCCAGGGACATATTTTGTATTGCCTGCACATTCAAACTTGATCATCTGAGGTGGACACTGGCATTCTTCCTTTGGTGTCTCGTGCTATTAACCTTGAGGTGGAAGGTGGCTTATGTGGTGCTGTGCAGACGATAAAAGATAAAAATCCTCAATCTTGTCCTTAAGGAAGAACATTTTGGTTTACATAAGTGGATCGCTGTCTCCTTAATTCCAGCTTCATCTGCTATATCAAATCAGCCTTTCCCTTAAAATGCACCTGACGGCTACCAAGTTGTCTCTTTTTTGGTACCTTTTCATTCTTGTTTCTGGAAGTAGCAGGCACATTGGCAACTTGCACACAAGCTGCAGGAAATCTAAACTTAAGTTGATGCAGATTAGAAAGCATGAGTTCAGTTTTGGTTTGTTGCTACCATTTTTTCTACCTTTGGGAAGGTAAAGATTGAAATATAAATTTTTTTCTACCAGATTAGAAAGCACGAGTTCAGTTTTCTCTACATTTTTTCTGCCATTTTTTCATGTCACAAATGTAAAATTGTTGACATACAAGATTTTGTATTATCTGTTCATGTCTGAAGTGTTCTGGAAGCCAAAATCTTATATTATTAAAGTTGGATGGTAGGTCTATCTCTCTAATTTTTATTATTAAAGTTGGGCAAAATATAACTTCCTCGTTAAATGTTGGGTTTCTCTCCCTTGTAAAATCTGAGAAGGAATTATTAACATAGTTAATGGTATGATGCTGTCCGACATGTTCCCTTTGCAGCTCAATGATTGTGCATGTTACCTGGCTACATTTTGTTCATTTCAAAATTGAACTATGTTCTGTAATAATTTACTTTGCCTATGGTTTTCAATCATCATTTCTTATGAAATCACACAAGCTCTGTTGTGTGTATTGATAGTTTGGAACATTTAGATCAGTGAAGTTAAATGTGTTGACATTAGATTACCAGAATATGATGTATCATTTGAATTGAGTAATCAGATTCTCAATTTCTGACTGAATGTGTGCTTTTGGAGACTCATCAATTTGTTCGAAGAAATGTGTCGAGGAAATGGTTTTAGTATATATTGTCCCCTGTAGATAAATGTTCATTAACGTTCATCAATATCACATTATGTTTTCTGGAGCATAATAACACAGGAATGCAGTAGAATTCCCCAGTTTACTCAGTTACATAGTAAGGAGGAAATACTAACCCATCTCATGAATCAGAAACAAAACTGATTGAATAACAACAGCAAGAAAATATTGCTGCAATTGAACTGTAACTATGGCTCATCAATACATGCATCCAAAAGTTAAAAGACTCTTTTATCTCTTTTGACAGGATGATCTGAGCTACAACAAGGAACAGAGATGGCAGACCTAAATAATGCTTCAACTGTTCTCATAATTCACAGTTAAAAAATTTCTCCTGAGGTTAAAGAACCATCTCTGCAAACAAAGTCCAATGAATTTAGTATCGTACAGGCGACTAAGCCGTGCCTGCTACAAACACAATCTTATCGCCTGGCCTTCACCATCATCGCTTACTGTCGCTGAATGCTGAGCTTCACTTTCAATGGCACACCTTCGATATGGTACAAATCCTCTAGCAGAGCTTCCACCCCCAGCTTTTGCTGCTTTCTTTGAGTCCACCCCATCGACATTCTGGTCACTTAGTCCCCAGCCACTGGTAGATGCCGTGTTAGAACCACTCCAAGAACCTTCCCCCTGCATCTCTTGTTCACCTGCGGCTTCCATCGGGGATTGCTGAGGATGCTGCAGTTGTGGATAGACAAATGGGAAAGGCAAGTCGCCATACATAGACCATGGCGGAGGGAGGAACATATGTTCTACAGAGTCCTCTCCAACTAATGGAAAACAATAGAACATGGGGGGTATAACACCAGGATAAGCATTCCATGCACTTCTAGTTGAATCCCTAGGTGGAACTCCATGTGCCGCGCTTTGCAAACACATTTCCAACTTGGAATTCAAATCAAAAGCTTTGTTCTCTTGCCATTCTTTGGTGTCGACAGCCACGGTTAGCTTGGCCTTTGCTGCATTCCCGTTGCTAGGAGCAGATGATTTGTTTAGATCAGTCAACACTACCATCTTTCCAAACAGCTTGAGAGCTGGTACCTGAGCTTCAGGTGATGTGTGCATATCAGAACACTGATCTATCACCTGAAACATCTTCTGATAGGTCAGTTAGATAACTAAGCTTCCCAATCAATAATAGATGTTTATTTCGGAAAATTACCATCGAAGACTGGTCTAATCTTGGGCCAAAACGTGGAAGCTTATGCTTTTCTTGAACTGTCATGGTAGTCAACTGTCCTCCATTGTCTTGGTCATTTGATCCAGCAGCAGATGCAGCTGGAGACGAGCAAATGTTTTGGCTATTGGAGAACATGGAGCCCAGGGCTTCTGACCCAACAGCCGACAAAACGGAGGTAGGTGATCTGTTCTCTTCCTCACAAATTGTATGAGTTTGCAAAGGTGGCCTCTCAAGTTGTTTTAGAGCAGCAGGAGTCTCCTTGCTCGATGAGTTGCCCGATTTGCGGGGATACGGGCGTAACGGTTTTCTCTTGGGTCGAGGGGGAGGAATCTCGATAGCCTTCAAGGTGACTGTGCTGTCATTACTGCCAGATTCGCGAACAACCTAAGTGCGACGAAAGACCAAAACAGTGAGCTGGAAGGAGAAGCTTTCGGTGCTTAACGCATTGTGGCAAAGTACCAGTTACTGAAGGAAGTAGTAATGAACCTTAGAAAAGAATTTTTGGGCATGACTCCTGATCTGGACTGCTGTCTTGGTACCTATATGCTCTGCACTATAAACCCCAATCAGAGAGGACATAAGGTTAAGATCAGTCGAACTAGACATGAGAAAATTTATCATTATTACCTTCTATACGGCGCCAAGCACGCCCATACAGTTGTAAAGCTTCGAGAAACTTACTGTGTTCTTCCTCTGTCCATTTCTCTCGCTGCTTGGTTATGGTGTAAGGTTTTCTCACCTAGTTAAGAAAGCAGAAAAAGATTAGATTGGAAATGTCTAGGTTGATCAATCTGAACTATTGATGATGGAAGATACCCTAGGAGCCTGTTCCTCCCCAGATGAGTCGATCTCCTTGGACTGAGGAATTGGTGTTTTTGCATCCACATGCATTTGATTGTGGGAGTTACAAACAGGTTGCTGTTGCTCCTGGTCACACAAAAGCCCAATTTTAGAAGCTGACTTCAGATATGTTTCTCGGCCAAGTATATATAGCATCTAGTCTTGTGCAAAGGATCAAGGAACATGAACATGATCAACTAGGAAAAGGAATCCTTTCTCTTGACCACTATTCTCACGTTTATATAGCAAGAACAACATGTCTAGCATTTAAAAACATAAAGCAAACATTCTTCTATTCAAATCTCATATTATTAATCATGAAGAAAGTGTAAACCTCTCTCACACACACACATAAGAGAGAGAAATGCTTGGTTTTGGGAAAAATTAGATTTTTTTGGGACAAAGTGCAAAATGGATCATGATGGGATGTAGGTGACGTTATGCATCAAACCACATCTGTTGCAACAGTAAAGTGATTTCAGATCAAGGCATATCGCCATGACAGTAATCCAAACAATCTTCCCCTAAATGTCAAAGGGTCGTCAGGCAGAAGACTGTGACGCCAGATTTAGCCGCCATCATCTCCTCCTCCCTTTTTATGCCCTTTCTTGCCTATGAGTCCATCAAAATCTACAGATACTTGAGTTCCCACCGTACCTGACTCAAAATTTCTTCCCAGTAAATCCTAAACTACATGAGCACCGAGCATCAGAACAGCAAAATGAAAGGGAAAGTACCAAAAACCAAACACCCCCAAGAACTCTCTCTAAACCACAAAAAAAAAAAAGTAAACACCAGAAAAAGAAAGAACACCAACGAACAAAAAGGTAGAGGTATATTCACCCGACTCTCCATCGCCGCAAGAGATGCTCCAGCTCAATATGCCGCAACGATCCCCCTCCAATCCCTTGTGAAATCGTCGAGAAATAACAAAAAGAACCGATCTTTAATCACCAAAGAATCCTTCCTTCCAGGAATCAGCTCCAATCCAAAGGGAAGGAAAGGAAGCCGAGGCGAGGAGAGGAGAGGTCGGAGGGGGAGAGGGGAGGCTAAAAACGAAAGTGGGCGTGCCGAGAAAGGGAGAGGAGAAGGTGCCACGTCGGACGGTGATATATATTTTTTTCCTCCGTTTAATAAAATTCACTTCGTAGATGGTTCCAGAAGCCGCTTAATACTAGTGGCTGGGAGACCGTCACACGTGGCACCTCCTCCTGTCACCTCCCACCGCGATCTCTTAATCTTCTTTCGCGCCAATCATTTTCCGTCTTCGGGAATCTTCTTTATTAATTTTATTTTTTTAATCTCCATAATTCATTAAAAAGAATATTTTTAGTAGCTTTTCCTATTTTTGCGTCTAATAATTTTGGCCTTTCCAATAAAAACTTCATATGCACTGTTTACATCCTGTGCAGATAATGTTCTGGACATGTATAAATGGGTCTTACATTTTTGCTCTAAATTAGTTATCAAGATGACCCAAATTCTAATTAATTGTATATTATGTTAATTTCTTATAACTTAAGATTTATTTATATATCCCTTAATATTGCAAAAATCGTAATTAATTTAAATGAGATATACTAATTAGGTTAAACAAGTATACATTTCAACTGACATCAAGTATTTTATGTATTTATTTTAAATATTGGTACGGAAGTATATGTCATTTTTAATTGTAATGGATAGATACGTAAAAATCATTCCTAAATAGAATGCCAAACGAGGCATGTACATAATACCTAACTGTCACGAGGCATTGTGGATCAGGTGCGGCGATGCGTGCAGCGAGCGACGCCAACTTCACCACATGTCATCTCGTACTGACCGCCACTCCATTGGCCTACCGACACGCGTCCCCAGAAACCCCAGTTGAAACCCAGAAGCCAGCAGAGGATCCTCACAAACGTGGACGCGTCTCCACCGCATGAAAATGCTCCAAGTGCCGTAGAAGATTTCTCTTCGAATCCAAAGGATCAGACGGCAGATGTACTGCGCTCAGGAGATCTACTACTTGAATGAGAAAAGCATATATATATATATATATATACGTGTATACATGCACATGTATATGCGTATATATACAATCCAAAGACAGGATTGGACGAAGAGTGGTGGGTAATGTTGTACACGTATGTGCTGCTCTTTGCATCTACTGCTACAACCTTCAGTTCATTCAGGCAATCACAGAGAGCAGCAGTAGTAGAAAAAAAATTCCATAATTTATTTCGCTTCATCTGCAAGAGAAGAGAGTGTTCTAAAACTGGAGAGTTTGCCTGGAAATTACAGCCAAGAGAAGCATTCTTCCGAGTGGACCAATGCCTGCATGCACCCCTCCTGTCTCTTGGCAGGAATAATGGAGTCTTGGCAAACTCAGCATCAGATACCTACACATGCATCTCACCACTGCTGCACTGACTTGTGGCAATCTCTCTCTCTCTCTCTCTCTCTCTCCTAACTAGCAACAAGGATTTGAGAGGGGCCACGAGTGGCTAAAATCTTGTGGACCAAAAGGAGACGGAGTCCCAGTCACCAATCTAGAGAGAAATCCACATTCAATCTGCTGGTTTGGTATGTCAGGCAGAGTTGCAGGCCGGATGATGGGCATGCCAGAAGGGCGGCAGCTTGTGGCCGAGAATAGCATCAAACCAGCCTTGATGTGACCCCCCACCATGACTCCTCTTGCCTAAATCATTATGCAGCTGCTCCTGCATCTTTCTTCTTCCGACGGGGACTCTTTGCCCAGCTGCAAATGCATTGCGAGGTTGTCTGTCATGTGATTGCACGACGTGTCGCAAGAAGATGGCAAGGACAAGACCACGGATCTTCTTCTCGGTGGAAGATGAAGTGCCGACAACTGGGTAGTAGCCCTGCGGAAGGAGAGCAAAAGGTGGGTTATCCATCACGGGTGCGGACACATTCAGTGGATCATCCGTCGTGCATTTCAATGCAGACAAATCTCGAGCATGATTGGGAGCCATGTGAGCCGTCCATTGTCAGCAACTGTTCTGCAAGCTTGCATGGTAGAAGCCGAGAAGAGTTACGTGAACATAGGAAACAAAGGACAAAGAACTGATACTATTAGTGGTTCACTTTGTTTCTGAATCAATCATAATCACACTAATGATTCATGCTTAAATATTAGTTTTATTATTAAAGGAGACTTCCAACAATAATGATAGTTGTCATCTGTCCTCCTCGACGTAAATTGGAGTTTACTGTGGCATATGCTCTACAGTAAAACTAGCTCCTCAAGCGTTGTTGCTTATAAGCATGGAAGATCTTCTATTCTAAGATTCTAATGTTGTCATTCGGTGGAGAGAAGACATAAACTTGGCCACTGGTCCTGAGAACAGAACAATGTCTTTAAGGACACACCATTGAGAATGTGCCAAGAGTAATGTATGTCATGAATTAATCTGGATTAAGTCGAACTACTGGATATAAAAATCTTCATTACATATAAAGCCTGAGTTCAAGTGGTTTGGTTAATGGCATGAGGTGGAGGGGAAGAAGGATGTAGACTTATCTTCATTACATATATCCACACATGTCTTTACTTGATCTTCCTTTATTTTTATTTTCAAAGCCAATTATTTTTATTTTCAAATTGCTAATTTTACCTTACATTATTTGTAATATTTGCAAATATTTTTATTTTTATTTGTAATTTTACCTTACATTATTTTTGTTTGCAAATATTCATATAAATTGATTTACCTTCCATTATTTGTAATAGAAGTATACAATAATTCTTTATATTCAAAACTCATTGTGCAATTCATAAGCTAAATTCCATTGGGTAGGAACATCTCTTGAAAATATTTTTTTTTTGTCTTTTATCATTTAATTTGTAATATCTTGCCTACTCTTTCATTACTTGTGGATGAGTTTACAAAAAATAAAATTACTTGTTTGGTGAAATAAAAAAAAAGAGATTAAAGTACTCATTATACACATAAATTTCACATGCACATTTAATGTGAAAAAAATTACCACCAAAAGCTGGTTGGCAAACTTGCTAAAACTCAGGAATAAATGCAATATTTGCAGATGTATTATTAAAAAATATTTTTAAAAAAAACTTAAATAGTTTTTATCATTCTATAAATATTATTGATAATATGCCATTCATCAAAATTTTAAAAGTCAATTATTCTATTTTTCATGGTTCAATCACTATCAACCCAATGACATATAATTCTAGTTTATTTGCTAATAATCATTTCAAATATCACTATAAATTGAAACAGATCCATTAAAAGATTGAAAAATATTTTAAGATTTCTTTTTTTATATATAAAGTTCATAAACAGTGTGTTGGAGTGGTTCTAGGAATATATCTTGCAGTAGAATTTAAAGTATTTTAACAATAACTAATAAAATCTAATTTTTCACCAAGATTAAAAGAGAGGTATTTGATAGAAATAAATTTTTTTTATCCTTCTCTATTTTTTTCAAGGAAAGAATGAAATACCTGATAATGGTTAGTTGTTTAATTTAAAATTTGATTTTTGGCTTTTATTAAGACCCACTTGAATAGGATGTTTTTCTCAATATGCTTTCTAAAGGTCATATATCCATTTTATTTTTAAAATTTAAATTTTTTAAGAGTAATTGTAAATTACCTGAAATGAGTCATCAGATTTTCTTTTATCTTCTTCAAATGCAGTTTAAAGATATCTGATTTGATTGATTTCATTGTTGTATATTGAAATATGTTTCCTGAGTTGGTAGGACAACTGCATAATCCAAATTCTTCAACACATACTAGAGAGACTATAATTGCAATCATATATTTATCAGAGAGATTACTATTAATTTGATGAGAAGAATGAAGAATAAAATGGAGGGAGGTATTACTAGATTTATATATTAGAGAGATTGCTACTGATTTGATGCGTAGAATGAAGAATGAAATGCTATTATTATTATTATTATTTATTTTATTATTATTTATCCCTATTTGTCGATATCAGTTTGTCGAGGTTTGGGTTTTTAGAACAGTTCAGTTCTGATTTTGACGGACGAAAGAGAAGTAAATTAATACTGTAAAAGAGACAATTACAAATACCTTAAGAAGACGTTCCTAGGTCATAAAACACCCGAAAATACTAAACAAGAAAAAACCCAAAGTATAAGTCCAAACTATTTAACTAAGTGTGGACTTAAATCCAAAGCAAATACTTAAATTTTTCTTACGCTTAAGTTTTTCTTATGGTGCTACTTGTGGTACATCTGACTTCAAAGCTCAAACCCTTATTTATAGTTCTAATACGAGATAACAAGCTTCCACTACTCCACGCACAACCCTCTCATCCTAACAAGCCATCGAGGGAACGGGTCGATCGGGTTTAAGTGGAACCCGGCCCGACCCGACTCAGCCCGTCTCCTTCCTCCGCTGGTTGATGCAAGACGCCCTTCGACCACACATACGACCACTTCACTCCCATCACCGATGTCCGCCAACCATTCCAATCTCCCTATCCTCTCCCGCCTTCTTCGCTCTCTTAGTCAACCCCTCCTCGCCCAGCTTCCCTTCTTCCCCTCCCCAGAATTCCATCATGGCGACCGCTGCTGTGACTGCCGCAGTCTCCCTCCCTTCCTCCAAGTCCTCCGCCCTCAACAGGACCCCATCCGTCTCTCCTGTCTCTCTCGAGAGGATCAGCTTCCAGAAGGCGAGTCCGTCTCCTTACTTCTTTGTCATCCATGTATCTAGTACTGATTGCTTCTTGGGAATGGATGGATTCCAGCAGGCGGCACGCTTGCAGTCAAGAAAAGTACCGGCGGCCGATGCCAGGAAGTTGGTCTCAGTACGAGCCCAGGTCACGACCGAAGCTCCGGCCAAGGTCGCGAAGGTCTCGAAGAAGGACGACGAAGGCGTTGTCACCAACAAGTTCAAGCCCAAGGATCCCTACACCGGGACATGCCTCCTGAACACCAAGATCACCGGCGACGATGCGCCCGGCGAGACTTGGCACATGGTCTTCAGCACAGAGGGTAATCCTGTCTCAGCCTATGTACGTGCGTATACTTCTGGATTCTACTGTGTTCATTGCGTGCATCGTCTACAGGAGAAATCCCCTACAGAGAGGGACAATCCATCGGTGTCATCCCTGACGGGGTCGACAAGAACGGGAAGCCGCACAAGCTCAGGCTGTACTCCATCGCCAGCAGTGCTCTTGGAGACTTTGGTGATTCCAAGACCGTAAGCCATCCAAATTCCTACTTGGGACTTGCAAGTTCCTGATCACATTAATCGGATTCCTTGAGTGCCGCTATGTCCTTCCGTAGGTGTCGCTCTGCGTGAAGCGGCTTGTTTACACCAACGAGCAAGGGGAGATCGTCAAAGGAGTCTGCTCCAATTTCTTATGTAACGATCCTAACCTCTCCAGAATCATTCATGAACATGCAACAGGATATCTTGTTTTATGTGATGATTTCTTCTCTTCTCTGTTCTGCCACTATATGTCAGGTGACCTGAAGCCTGGTGCTGATGTCAAGATTACAGGACCAGTCGGGAAGGAAATGCTAATGCCAAAAGATCCAAATGCAACCATCATCATGGTAATAAAATGCCATGGGTTTGGTGTTCTTCGATTAAGATTGTTCTATAGCTACATGCCTGATCCGTCCATTGCAGCTTGCAACTGGCACTGGAATCGCTCCTTTCCGCTCTTTCCTGTGGAAGATGTTCTTTGAGAAGCATCATGATTATAAGGTGATGTTCTTGGCCGATGAATCCAAACGCCATTCACTGGGATCTTGTAGTTGACTGTAGTATCAGCATAATGTACTGATGCATTCGGATAAGTTGCAGTTCAATGGACTAGCATGGCTCTTCTTGGGAGTTCCTACGAGTAGCTCATTGCTCTACAAGGAGGTCAGCTTGAAATCTTGATGCTGGTGACAAGATCTCAAATTTGACTACTTCCACACATCAGCGGTTGATCAAATTGTGTGTCTGCTGCTGGCTTAGGAGTTTGAGAAGATGAAGGAGAAATCACCAGACAATTTCCGGGTCGACTATGCCGTCAGCAGAGAGCAAACCAACGAGAAGGGAGAGAAGATGTACATCCAGACTCGCATGGCGGAGTACGCTGAGGAACTGTGGCAGCTACTCAAGAAGGAGAATACCTATGTATACATGTGTGGGCTGAAAGGGATGGAGAAGGGAATTGATGACATTATGGTCTCTTTGGCTGCCAAGGATGGTCAGTCTAACGCAATGATGGTATATTTTGCCGCAAACCATTCATAGGTCACTGAAATCCCTCTCTCTCTCTCTCTCTCTCTCTCTCTCTCTCTCTCTTGCAGGCATTGACTGGTTGACTTACAAGAGGGAATTGAAGAGAGCAGAACAATGGAACGTGGAAGTCTACTGATGTTTCAAGTAAACAGGTGGCCTTAAATCTGAAACATCCCAGAATCCAACTCCTTCCTTCTTGTCACAACAAAGGCCAAGTTGAAATGTGGCTTCTGGCTCCCAAGTCTTTGTTATCTGTGTCAACAAGGAAATCTAAGCCATCATGTTCTTGGGACTACTTGGGAAATCTAAGCCTGGCTAGTGCCAATGTATGACAACTATAATTATAATAGATACAGGAACCAACACAACGGATGTCAGCGTTTCTCTTTTCTTCCAGTTTGAGCAGCAAACATTGCGAATGAGAACTCATCTTCTGTGTTCTGTTGTTCTCCGACGTGCAACTGATGTTGGGTTGGTTCGGACAAGGTTGATATCTCAACTTCTGTCTCCAAACCGTGATGGCCCAAAACATGTCTTCTTCCAGAAGGGGTATAAACTGCACCCATATGCCCAGCAGTTGCACTCCTCTGCATAGGGTTAACTGGGGATGCCTGTGGGCTCATCGTGGAGCTCGGTTCGTGGACAGAGGAAGAACGTGAGAGTCCTTTCTCTTGTTTTTTCTTCGCAATTTGATGCCATTTTATTAGGGCCTTCGAAGTCTCTTCATCGAATATGGACCTTTTCATGTGTGAACCCATCTGCGAACACATCGAATAAATTGTAATTTAAACATGCAAGCTCGAAAAGCTAGAACGATATCTATGTTTCAATCAGCCATTAGAAGAAAGCTCTCTGACTCTGCTTGCATGCAAGATGAGGAAACAGATTTTATTTTCTATCTATCTCATACAGGAACCTCTGCATGTATCGATTAATCTGTTCGATTGGAAACAGATTAAAGCTGCATATTGGACGCTTGTTGGTTTGATAATTTGCTAATACTCGTATCAATCTACTTACTGATGAAGGAGAAATGTATGATGCCATACTTCATTCACCACTAACAAGGATGTGTTGAGACATGAGTGAATGGATAGGAGTACAAGGGATCAATGAGACTTCTTGAAATGAGGAACATACTCTTGCAATCAATATATGGTTGATAATTAAAAGAAAAAAAACCCCATAAAAACTCGTACCTGAGACACAAGCGCATAAAGTGGAAGTGTAATATACGAACAAAAGAATTGGACTAACACCCTGCACACCAATGAAACAGAAGCATTAAGTCCATATGTTTGCAACAACTACTTAAACTATGTTACAATAAGAACATGAATTCAGTACCGCTAAGAAGTTGCAAAAATACATGATATCATTCATCTGAAACATCTCAAGTTTGTCTGAACAACAGCTGAAGAAGAAACAATCCAATGGAACAAAGAACAGATCCTATTGATACTCATCATGTGGTCGGTCACTCATGCTATTCACAATTTCACGCAATGGCTGTCATTCCTAAGAGGAGAGACAGCATAGAAATCCTCCTTTCCATTTTCCCATCCGATATTAATTTGCTCCACTTTGCAAGAGACGAAAGGTCCAACTATATATACATCCGATATTAAACACTATATATACGAAGCACGTGCGAGTCCATGCTAACGCAGATATGGATGATAACCTATGAGCATTAATATATGTATAACTTTTAGATATATTGTGTGGGTGCATTTTCTTTTGGTTAATGATTATAATTATGTATAAGAATCAAAATCATTATATAAGAAAAAATCCTATCATTTTATTTAGTAAATTAGCATGTTTTACTTTTAAGATTACATAGCAACAAATGAATGAAAAAATGACATCCTGTACGTAGAACTAGAAATAGAGTGTTACAGTTGTTGCATTAGAATCTAAGTCATGAGTCTCGTAGATTATCTATAGCTACAAAAGTATAAAACACACTACTCAATTATCCTACAAGTTTTAATAATTAAATTACATTGATTTTCTTATTAATATATAATGCTCTTATATTTGACAGGTAAGATGTGAATAACTTGGGAATAATCGAAAAGATATTATAAAAATAAGAGGGGTTGTATAATCTTGAAGAATACTTAGAGCAGGATTTTGAGGATTTTTCAAACTTACCCGATGATAACTTTCACAATGATGGAAACAAAATTTTCATGAAAACAAGACTTCAGACCAAACTCGTACTGCAAAATTAAATATATAAAATAAATAGAGGAAGTCAGATTGCTCAAATATAATATATGATAGCCACAATGAAGAACGAAGAATTAGCTCCATATAGTAACTTACCCATATCCAAAAGAAGTATGTGATCTGAAATGCACTCTGGGAGAAATATTTAAAAAATGAAAATTAATTTAGCTTCGAAAAGATTGTACAATCAAATAAATTGAAGAGTAAAAGAAGTATATATCATTGAAAAGAAAAGGAAAAAGTCATATTTTGATTAAATGACAGGATTATCAACCAGGATAGAATAGTTAGAGAGGAAGCAACATGGCAACCTGAAATAGTGCAAAATGGATGAGAAATAGAACAAAATATGGACGTCCAAACCAAAAATGGTGGTCACTGAGTTGCACCAGAGGAATCCCTTGAATAACAGTATGTCTCTCTTCAATTTCAATAGCCATTCTTGTGATGATCACATGCAGCTTCATTCCGACTGCCAAAATTGTCTACATTGCCGGCCATAGAAAAAGTTAGAAATCTGATCGTACCAAATGATTCATATGTGATGTATAGTGAAAAACCTCGATCTTACAACTAGAGGAATTATTGATGCCCAGAACTTTTCCTTCCATCCTGAAGGAAGAAGAAAGTAAAGGAGATAGTCAAACATCATATACTCATTTGTATGTCTGAAGAATAATGGCAACATCATATGTACACTCACCATGGACGTTAAGAAGCAGAATGATCACAGCAGAAGCCCATAACACAGGACTGTGTGGCGAAAGAAGGAACAAATTCTTATGTTAATCGAAAGAGACATGCAATTTTATGTAACAATACCAAATATATATGACTGTACACTCGAACAACATTAGATTTAATATCAATGGGTACTGAATTTGATGAAAAATTTCAGATCCTTCCAATTCCAAAGCCATTTTGGTGATGGAAAGGAAAGAAAGATAGTAGTGACCTGATCCCTGCCACCATCTTGAAGTCATCCTCCAGTGTCCTCTTTATATATTTTTGAAAGTTAAACTTACTGCCCGGAGCCAGATGAACCTATACAACATTGAAATATCACAAACATGACAATTCAAGCACAAATTATCAGGTATGCATCTGTTGCTGGAACTTACATTGATAAAACCATGGCGCAAAGCCAAGTAATCTGCTTTACAAACAGACCTAAAAAATTGCCTAAAAAAGCTTACCTGTAAAGGACAAAATGAGAAGAAAATAAAAGAGATGGTAAGGTGATGGATAATGATGTTTTAGTCCAAGAATCCATAAAAAAATTATATAATCAAATGACAGGAATAACAATGCTTTTATTATGTTTGCAAGTCACTCCTATAAAATGATCATTTGATTGTGCTACAATGAACGCAATTGTGACAATTCTTATCTGCTTACAAAGTAGAAACAGATTGTGACCCTATTCCAGATACTTGTGTGCCGTCTCACAAAGGATGTCTCATGAGTGAATCTGAATCTTGAAGGATCTGCATAGTTTACAAACGAATGACTCGAACATAATGAACTACTTGACAACATGAAACATAATGAGAGATGATGTTAGCTAGCAAATAAAGAGAACTTTGGGGAGTAGCAATGTACCCTTGGAGAATTCATACTCAGGTGATGAAATCTCACTTTCCCAATGCTTCCATCTGCGCATCTGCATGTCGGTGATAAGCAGGTGCAGGTATTATTCTAATGCCTAATGAATTCTACAATTACTTCAGAGATGTATACCTTAAGTCTTCCAAGGGCCATTGTAGTAAAGCTACTAGCAACATGAAACACAGCCAAGAAGAAAATTAAGATGTGCAATTGATGAAGTCCATTCGTTGAAATAAGTGGCACCTTTCCCTGTAAGGAGGATCACTCCGAATAAGCAAGTGCAAAAATAAGTCTTCGTAGGAACTCGAAAGCAACACAATGCACGACATTTAGAATGGATGTGACAAGTGATCGCAATGGTCATGGAATACCTGTAACATCCCATTAGTCCCACATCGGAAGCGAGCAATGTGTATGATTGGCTTATATGGGTCTGATGAGTGTTACCTTAACTTCCGCTTAAGCATTTTGATCCGTGGTTGAAGGACCAAAATGAAGTTATTGGCCAGTTGGCTCATCCTCACATGCACTATGCTAGGGTTCGATCTGGGTTATGTCGGGTCTTGACGAGGACGTCAAGCTGATATTGTAACACCCCATTAGTCCCACATCGGAAGTGGGCAATGTGCATGATTGGTTTATATGGGCATAATGAGTGTACTATGTTACCACCACAAGTTGATGTGAAGATGTGAAAGTAAGGATTAAACCCTTTTTATATGACCACTTAAATTGAAATTCCCATATTTAGATAGAAGGTTTTAGATCGATTGACAGTACAGTTCATTAAATTTGACCTTTCATCAATGCTGTCACAAGGGTTCAACAGTATATGATTGAAATATTAAAAATAGATTCTTAATAACTTCTTGCCAAGAGCGGAATAGATTACTCAGAGTTTCTATAGCAATAGATAAAAGGAGAGAGAGTGCATTACAACAAATAACATAAATATCTTAGATAATTATGTTTTAGATAGTTTTAGTCATATTCTAAATAGTTTCACTTAACTAACTCGTATTTTGAATAGAATCACGAGGGTAATTCCTACATCTAACTTAATCATGAGTGACATAATATAATAAGATTCCTACATCTAACTTAATCATGAGTGACATAATATAATAAGATAGTTATCATTAGGTTCTATAAATAGGACTATGGTTAATGAAACAAATATGTGTGCACTTGAGAATGTTTTTAAGTATTTTTAGTTTTTATCTCTTGTTCAATACTATTTTAGTTTTCTTAATTGAAAGTATTCTCTTTTAATCATTTCCTTGCTCCTTCATCCCTAATATTTACGGTATTAGAGTCTAGTTTCAATGAATATTATGGCTTTCAATGGTAATTTCATATCTCAACCCCTTATTTCTATCTTTTTGGGTAAATAATATAAATTTTGAAGTATCAAGATAAAGACTTAGTAGAGAATAAATATGAAAATCTAAATGAAAAAAAAACTAGGTTAAAAAAAATAGAAAGAATGACTCAAATGCGTTATTCTTTATTCAACAAGTTCTACATGAAATAATCTTCTCAAGAATTATAGCAGCTACAATCTCAAGACAACTTTGATTGATATTTTAAAATAATTTTTAAAGCTTATCGAAGGTGATTATGATAAAACTTCAAACCCTTCATCATTAATTTAAAATTTTATTCATGAAAAATAATAAATCAGTACCAGATTTTCTTTTTCGAATGACTGAAATTGTTAGTTAAATGAAATCTTACCATGAACATCTTCATGATCATATGATTATTACAAAAGTTTTAAAAAATTAAACTTTAAAATTTGATCAAATTGTCACCGTAATTGAGGAGTCAAAAGATTTATCTATCATTTTCATTTGATGAAATAATAAGTATATATATATATATATATATATATATATATATATATATATATATATATATATATAAAAGCATGGCAATCGATGCCAGGCAAGTACGATGATCGAAAGTAGTGGCGAGGTAAGAAAGTAGAAGTCCAAAAAAAGTGGTTTCTTTTAAAGCCTTTATCATAAATATATTTATCTACAATATTCATCAAGAATCCAGAGAATTATGTTTGGTGGAAGTGAGCATTATGAGCATATAAAATTACGTTCTATTTCCAGGTCCGAAGAAACAACTGCAGGAACAAGCAAAAGCAATTTGATTGAAATCACAAAACTTTTAATGGGTGTACTTACCGCGGAACATGAAACAATCGATCCCGCAGCTAATATCCTGTGTTTTCCATTTGGGTCAGTGAGTGCATTCGTTAATAGTCTCCTTCTGTGTCTTCCATCTGCCTCTTCTTCTGTCTCTGTATCTGTTTTCCTTGAGCATGGCAACATGGTATCTGCAACTTTGTACGGTACGCATATTTTGACAATGTACTTCTGCCCAAAGGTCAGTAGCAAAGAGATAAAACCCAGAATCATCAGCTCTGCAAAGCCAATACAGTCAAATTAGTGTCAGTGGCTGTAGCTAAAAGTATGTGCAGCAAATGAATGAGAACAGACTGCATAATGATTATCGAGATTTCATAATGAAATAGAATATACGTTTGTGCATACAAAAGAAATATAAGTTTTTATGTTACCAGCTTTAATCTTCTCAAGAGCTTCAAATAGTGCCTTTTTGTGCTTCTCAGTCAGCCACTGAAAACATAGTTCACACAGTGGGACATCAGAATGTCATCTTGTGGAGCGCAGCAAAACGTAAGAAAACAAGAAACACACTATAATCTGGCTGGAGTGTCTGAGTAAAAACACAACAAAATTTCAACTCCCGAATTCAAGTGCAGAGAAACTTAAAAGCATCGCTTGGGTAATTCAAGAGCAGAGAAACACAGAAGAAACCGATAGAGTTAACCGAGTTCCAAATCTTGCACGTAAACCATCTCCCAGAACCCAAAACCCATGAAAACAATAAAACTGAAAAGGAAACTATCTCTTGGGTAATTCTCCGACACATCACCTTTTGATCGTTGTTCCACACTCCAAAACCAAGCGTACAAAGGCGAGCAAGTCCGAATCGTTCACAAAACACCGTCTCCCGGAACCCAAAACCCCATCAAAACATGGAAAGAATAAGAAAGAAAGAAGCAAGATTTCTTTATCGTTTACCTCCCCGAAGCGATGGAGGCCCTTCTCCAACAGTATGGAGATGACGACGATGACGGCGCACACGACGGCGACCGCCCACGTCGGTGTCTGGTCGAGCTCTCTCGAGTTCCCGCCTCCGCCTCCGCCTCCGGCCATCCCTTGACAACCCCTGAACTCTCTTCTTTATTCGAATCCACTGCCTTCGGAGAAACGCTGGGCCTGCGACGAATCCCCTAGGCGAGCTTTATAGGAAGGCGGGAATCGGAATCGGAAGGAAGACTCGCAACGAGACATGGCTTGGCTTCCTCGCTTGTCCTCGTTCGACAGCTCGGACTACGTGACATTCCCGCAAAAACAAAGGGCATAAGATGACGTCACCTCATGGGACCCAAAGGCGGGTGGGGTCTACTTGAGAGTGAACTTTTGGACGGTGACCAAGAAGTCAACGTGTGAACAAACGGTCAACAAAGCTCTCTCTCTCTCTCTCTGCCGTTTCCTTTACGGTGTTCAGGATGGATGATGGAAGAGTTAATGCGGACCACTAAAGACTGACTTGTTGACTCCGCATCTCGCATCACCTCCCACAGTCGAGATGTAAACTACCGACCAAGAAAAGCACTATGGGACGAGACTGATTGAGTTAATTTACTCACAGGTAGTAGAAAGATTCTAATACTCCTAAAGAGAATTCTTTTGATTTATATGAAAGGATATATAAAAATATTTATGCATCAATTAGTATTAACTTAACTCATGAAAGCTTATAATTTTTATATGTTAAAATTTTATTTTAATATGATGGATGGATACATTAGTGAATGTTAAACCATTCAAATTTATTTATTTTTCGATTGTTATATTGATATTGAGATTTTCTACCCAGCCCAAGTAAAGAGTTTTGATTAAATTGATTTTTTTTCTTGCATTAATATCATATCTGCATGGCATAAAATGAGTTAAGTGGATGGAAAGTATATTTCTGATAAGGTTATTTACTTTCACATTGGTCGAGGAGTATGAAAACAAAGGGTTCATAAGTCCGTCAGATCTCTCTTTATCTTCAAAAATATTTTTTTAAGTTCAGAACGGATAAAATCATACGGACACGTCCATCGACCCAAAAATTCACCTCATATGGTAACCTCACTTGCAACGTACAAGAGTTCGTGAGCACATAAACAAATGGGCTTCAAGGCGGCCCAATTGCAGCACAATGGCCTTCACCTGCGTGGGCTTCAGCCTTCGCAATAACAAAGCCCTAGAAATTGCCATCGCCTACCGCAGCGCCCACGCTCAGATTCTTCCCCCTTCCCCTCTGCTGCCATGCGATCCAGAGGCCACACCGCCCCCACCCCCGCGCCTTGCTCACCACCGTTGTCCCACTCCTCCGACTCTGCGACAAAGGGTCACGTTTACAAGAGATGCAAACCCCCAACCCACCACCCCCTTCGAATCTGTTCGACCCTGTTTTCGTCGGATGGGCCGTTACTCCTCCGAAGCTGGGCCCTTGACATTGAAGGGCAAGATCCGGTCGATAAGAGGTGTGCTGGTGGTGTCAACGGCATGGACATGAGCTCGGCTACCACGGAAATGAAGGCTGAGAAATGTGTGGTTCCTCGCTCGAGAATTGATCTCCGTATCTCCAACAGAGTGCCTTTTGGAGCCACACATACGCTGCCCAACCACACTTCACTTTGGAGACCACACAGAAAATGAGTGATGCCGATGACTCGTTTAGGCACTGGACATGTATTAGTTTGTCATTAAGAATCCTTGTGCTCTTTAGTTGCAGCAATGGTCAGCCATGCAGCTCTTGCCTCCTCAAGGATTCCATCCAACACCTGGTTCCACTCCAAGGCCGCCCATTCTCACCCCACCTCATGCTTTAGCAAGGTCTCTCTCTGTTTTTCACTATTACTAGCAGCAGCAGTGGTAGTAGTACCAGTTTCCTCGGAATTATCTTGTGTTAAATTTAAGTTCATGTATGTAGAGGCTAGAGGTTGCTGAATTCTCGGGTTTGAGATCAAGCGCATGCGTCACCTTTGCAACAAACGGCAGAGATGCATCCTTTTCTGATGTGTTAGCTGCCCAGTTGTCTACCGAGGTGTGTCATTTGACGAGGCTTAGCTGCTGTGTTCTTACTATCTTAAAAAGGAAAAAAATTTTAGTCTCGCTCTGTATAGTTGTGCAAATAATTCTGTCGTATACAAAGAATTTATTGACTTGTTCATTTGATCCTGAAAATAATTGATGCATGTCATTGATTTGATACTTGTAATTACCAAAATGATTTCTTGAAATCCTTACCTTATGCTTAGTTCCACTTTCCCTGAAAAACCAATAGAATGGAAATTATTGGAGTTTTTTTTTTCACTTTTTCCTTTTGCAACAGGCTATCCAAAAGTGTTTTGAGTTGTGCAAATTAGAGTTTCTAATGGCCTAAATAAACCAATGTTGTCTGATCAGTATAAACATGTAACTCAAAATTTGTGATCAGTTAATGTCCTGTGATCATCATCCATGAGATCCTAAAATATAGAATTATGAATCCACTGAGATTAGTTAATGTCCTGTGATTATGTTTTTCAATTTGTTTCTTTGTGCTTTTTAAGGAATTGTTTTTTCTTTGTGGTTCTTAAGAAATCGTTTGTTTCTTTTATGTTTTCCAGGAATAAGTTAGTTTCTGTAAATCATTTGCGGAAAAAAGAGAAGGAAAATTGGAACCTGTTATTACATGGAACCACGATATTGCTTCCTTTGCATGCATGACCGTGTCAAATGATGCTCATAACCTTGGTTGTAAATTGCTTCAGACCGCTAGAGCTGTTCTCGTCAAGGGAGAGACCGTTGCAAAGCTGAAAGTTGCAATCAATGGCTTTGGAAGGATTGGTCGGAACTTCCTCCGCTGCTGGCACGGCCGAAATGACTCCCCACTCGAAGTCGTGGTTGTCAATGACAGCGGTGGTGTTAAGAATGTATGACATGTCTCCTCGTCTTTTCCTGTACTGTAATGTCTCATTATTACTGATCTAAGTCTGCAGCAACATAGTTATTTATACTATATTAATGGTTAATAAGAGTATGTTACATGATCTTTTCATGCAGGCATCTCATCTTCTCAAATATGACTCCATTCTTGGGACCTTTAAAGCTGATGTGAAGATTGTAGACAATGAAACAATCAGTGTAGACGGAAAGCCTATCAAGGTCGTCTCCAATCGTGACCCTCTGCAGTTGCCATGGGCTGCACTAGGAATAGACATTGTTATCGAGGTATATTTTTCAGAGTTTTATTGTTGCAATACATTTTTTCTAGAGATTCCAAGGTTATTAACTTGTTAGTTCACCAAAACAGGGGACAGGAGTCTTTGTTGATGGCCCAGGAGCTGGAAAACATATACAGGCCGGTGCTAAGAAGGTTATCATCACGGCACCAGCGAAAGGAGCCGATATCCCAACATATGTGGTTGGTGTAAATGAAGGTGACTATACCCATGAGGTGTCAAATATAGTAAGGTATGTGGTCTGTTCTGCTCTCTTGCTGTTCCTAACAAACACGATAAATTTTTCTTTCATAATTCCTCGATATGTATCATGCATGAATTTTATCGATTATTTTCCTACTTACAGCAATGCATCTTGCACGACAAATTGCCTAGCTCCTTTCGTGAAGGTCATGGATGAAGAGTTTGGTAATCGTTGCTTGCTTTTGCTTTGAAACTGTCTTGCTGGTTATCTTCATTCACAAAGAAGATATAAGTGCAATATAATAATACTTGTGTTTTTGCATTTTTTGAAGGCATTGTGAAGGGAACCATGACAACAACTCATTCTTACACGGGCGACCAGGTTTGCTTTTTTTATACATATCTAATCAACAGAAATCAATCATTTATGCAAAATTCAGATACCAAAATCTAGTTACATATTACTAGATAAATTTCATGGCTTGCTCAACTTGGATGCTTCAGAATATATCTTTTCTCATGACTAGATCATCTCAAGATTCTGAATTAAAAATGTATGTTTATGTAGGAAAAAATTAAGACCAGAAAGATGAAACAAAGCAACATATATGAATGATACCAAGCTACCTGGTTAGGCTTTTGAATTCTTAAGGAGAAAACTTGGCTTATGATAACAGACAGAAGATAAATGAAATTTGGTATGACATGACTCAAAACTCAACTTGTTCCTTGGTAATGTTATATGACAAATGCAGTAGTCATCATGTGAACCACAGTTTACAGTCTTCCATTCTTACAACTTTTGTCATTGTTTTTGTTGCATGCTTCATGTAATCTGTTGCCTCCCTCTAGTCCTTGGCCAGTATCCTTTCTTTTTTTTTTCTTGTTGATACTCACCCTCTCAAACTATTATGCTCTTCTCTTCACCTATTGTCAGTTTCTCCTGAATTCAAGATTGATGCAGATGCACAGTTCTTTTATTCAACCCAGTGGAGCTTAAGTTTCTTGTTAGGTGTTCTACCGTGGGTCCTTTTAGCAGCTTGAACAGAGTCTCGATCTTCACTATTTCCTTTGGGACATTAAATATTTCTGAGACTATTTCTACTGCAACCGTAGAGTTAATGGCATAACAAGTTATAAAACCTTTTGCATGTAATAGCAACAAAAGTGTTCATTCCATGAAAGTGTGAATTTGTACAGCTTAACTGTTTATTCACGGATCGATCAGGTGGAATACTATTGCATGCATTCTAATATTTTATTGTCACCACAGAGGTTGTTGGATGCATCGCACCGTGACTTGAGACGTGCAAGAGCTGCAGCACTAAACATCGTCCCGACAAGCACCGGAGCAGCAAAAGCTGTATCACTGGTGCTGCCTCAACTGAAAGGAAAGTTAAATGGGATTGCTCTCCGAGTGCCAACACCCAATGTCTCAGTTGTGGACTTAGTAGTGAATGTGGAGAAGAAAGGAATGACAGCTGAAGACGTGAACGATGCATTCAGGAAGGCTGCTAATGGACCATCGAATGGTGTCTTGGCAGTGTGTGATGTTCCTTTAGTGTCTGTGGACTTCCGATGCTCTGATGTCTCTTCCACTATCGATTCCTCACTGACTATGGTTATGGGTGATGATATGGTCAAGGTGGTCGCTTGGTATGACAACGAATGGGGATACAGGTGAGAATTAAAATTGCTGTTTGGAAAAGCTCATTTGACACTACTTCTGTTTGGCCATAACCATATCTTAGAATTATGAGGGGTTGCCTTTTTTTTCGGATTGCTTTTGAATTAAAAAGTGCTTCTCTGTACAAAGCATTTTGGATTAAAAATTAGGCAAAAACTCGAGCATTATGGATGAAATGTTTGAAAGAACTCGAGTGACACTGGAAAACATTCTCATCGATTATGATTCGAAGCGCACTGATTCTTTTCCATCTTTTTGTGCAGCCAACGGGTTGTTGATTTGGCACATCTAGTGGCGAGCAAGTGGCCAGGCATTCCTGCACAAGGAAGTGGAGATCCTCTGGAAGACTTCTGCCAGACAAACCCAGAGACCAAGGAATGCAAAGTTTATGAATTTTGATTTGGCACATCAAACATGTCCGACGATTCTTAGGAGCATATGATTACCTTGGGGCTGTCTGTGGTTGATCTGTTTTTGCCCAAACAAGTATTCTTATTGTCTGACAATCCAAATGATATATTCAAAATAATTGAATGATCCGAGCAAATTTAGATGTTTTTGATCCTTTCAACCCCATACTGTTTGATGCTTGTTCTCTATGTGTGTTTCGGTTAGATGACAGTGTTCTTTCAACCCCATAATTTAGATGTTCTGCTAAATTAGCTCAATGGATTCATAATAATGTACTTGGAAAATAAAGTTGCTCAAAATTAATATATAAGTCAACTTCTTGAATGTGCTACTAATCCCAAAAATTATTAAGTTTATAGGAGTTTATGAACCAAGGATCGGTGGAAATTGTATAAATATCTATATACATTTCAATTAAGCATTAGGAGTCTTATTTGAAATCCAAAATCATGATATGCATTAATGCCATAAATTGTGAAGATCCTTTGTAACATACTTCATAATCTAATAATAATAATAATCATCATCATCATCGTCATTGATTTATCTATCATTCTCTCTCTCTCTCTCTCTTTTTTTCTCTCTCTCTCTCTCGCCACAATGTGATCTGTGTTCAGGCCCGACGTGGAGCAAGGCTTCCCCGCTGAGGCGAGCTTGGAGGACTAGCTCGCCTCTTGTGACACGGAGTGCCGCAGTCCCGGAGAACAGCTCGTCGCCACCGGCAAGACTCTACGGCGGACGCGAAGCGGTCCGTCTTGGAAATGGGTTCGTCTTCTAGTATTTGTTTATATACAAAGGTTATTTCTGTTTATATCCCCCGTCAAAACGTAGGTACTTACCAGAAAAGCCCTCATCTTGTTCCTTTGATTGCAACCACGAATCCAATTCTTTTACTTATTTGGTTCTCTTTCTTGCTTCTTTCTCTGTTGTATTCAGCTCTCCCGTACGTACACCACTTCTTGCTAATATTTGCTACCGTGCTTCAACCAAGCAATCCAGTCCCCGTAGATAGAGAGAGATCAAGGAAACTTGATCATAGCTCGTGCGAACATAAATCTTCAATTTCAATGCTATAATCTTCTGCATGTTTAGATATTTTTTGGATCTGTCATTCCTTAATCACTCTTGTTATTTTTCCAACACTTTGCTATATGTTTTCAATCTCACAGGGTTTTATAGTACTAAACTCTTTAGTGATCTCTCTCTCTCTCTCTCTCTCTCTATTTGTATTTATATTTAGAAAAAAGATTGCATATATTCAACCCAAAGTTATGATATTTTTTTTAATATATTTGTAAATTTTTAAAGTTTTTGCAGCCTAAAATGCCTCCTGAGGGAGAATGGAGGGTTCCATACAATGTCAGAATCAGGTTGGCCTACAGCAAATAGAAATTCCAGAGAGCATGAAGTCTGCAAATTCCACAAACTTACCACAAGAATTCTCATGATAAGCTTATTTTGTTCATAATGCAAGAATGCTGCAAGTACACATCATATTATAGTCACAAACTGGATTGACAGGATACAGATCTCTCAATCTTCTACGGCCATCAAAAACCTACCCAATTTATTGTCAGAATTGGTGGTTTACCAGCAACCTCTTCTCCTGTAGTTAAACACAGAGTTAATGCAGAGCTTCTCCATGCGCTTATCTATACAAACAGCTTCTGTATGTTGGCATCCAGTAATCTGGTCTTATATTGTCTCTGTGGACTTGAGGGATGGAAGAAACAGGAACCAAGCAAAGCCCTCTACTCCTTAGATCATATTTTGCTTCGGCCTTGTCCTTCCTCTGCAATTCTCCCCATGAATTGTGATCCTGAAATGAGCAGATAGAAATGAGGTAGTAGCACCTTGGCCTCTGTAAAGAAAGAGTAAACAACTATCTCTGCTATGCGTACCTTACTGGCACTTGACTTCAGGTACGGGTCGCTTAGCAACTGCATGAGTTGGACAAGCGTTTTCATCAGTTACACAGTCGAATGCATAGAGCGAACAGCATCTTTAATTCTCATTTCAGCAATGATCTAATTTTCTATACAGTGACTAAATGGTAGCATGAACTCTGTAGATATTAGGGTACTGCTGATTAATAATATCGAGGTTGAGTAAGTCTTCAGTGTTTTCTCCACTGTCATCTTCCAATATCTTCATCCCTTAAATCTTTTACTTTTGGGGAGGCTACTAAGTCATCTCTCTAATCAAATAAAACTGAGGCAGCAAGTTGTAAGCATTAACGAGTTTTGTGGTGTTTGTTTACCTGTACTTGATCCTGTAAACTTCTGATGCACTTGACAGTTTCCATTAGCACAGATGCTTGATCTGTCTGACAAATTCACGAAGAACTTGGGATGAGATGACAACATGCATTTATGTGCGACTGTGAATGACTCTCGTGTAATTGTTTACCTTCCCAAATGGTGACACGAGCTGTTGGAGAGCACTGATTTTTTCTGCAACCTTTACCTTGGGCACCTGCGGCTGATCCAACAACACTATTGTTATCAGAAGAAGAAGAAGAAGAAGAAGAAGAAGAAGAAGAAGAAGAAACAACATGGGATGACATCTCTATTGGTTTTTGCTACTGGCAGCTACCTTATCAGATGAAACCATCGAGCTGTCGTACTTGGACTTCTTGAGGACTGTCTCTGAAGTGTCTTCAGACCTTTTATTCTTCCCTTCAGTTGTTCCGCTGCCCCTACCATTTCCTCTCATCTGCAGTAAGTTGTGAACGAGAAGATTTATCGTTCAGTGTATGTAAGTAAACATGAGAGAAAGAGAAAGGAAAGCATATATTTGTTCTTACTGATGAACATACATATCCTTCCTTGTTTCCATCACACAGATCTAAGCCCTTTGCATGAGGCTTTGAAGCTCGTGAATTACTATGGCAGGACAACGGAACCTCTGCCATTCCACTGCAGAAGGTCATCTGGTATCTGGTGCTACCAGGACTGTGCGACCTGGGAAAGAATGGTGTGGTAGCTCCGGTTTCCTGATCGCAAGACGGAGCATAGCTTGTGCTGCTCTCCCCCACAATTCCATGGCTCGGATATGATGGTGATATTGGAATCTCATGCTTGACGACATCGGAGGCCACGTAGTTAGCCATCGGAGGGCAGATATAGGCGTCGCATGGACCGGCATGTGGATTGGGAGGAGCAATAGACCAGTTGCTGACCAGATCTGACAGGTTACTCGTCGCTCCTTCCTGCTCCATGATGCTTCCGTTGTAGCGATTTAGATGCTTCTCCAACCAGTTGAAGGAGGAAGGATGTGATTCCCAGTTGGCGTAGCTTCTCTTTGAGTCATCGCATGCAGGTTCGAGCAACTCCCTCCTTGAACTCAGCACCTCAACAAAGCTTCCTCCATCGTCTTGTCCACTGTGCGCGGCCTCTCCAGCATTTTCCACGTTTCTGACACACCCAAATCTAACCTTTAGTGCTGCATCCGTGCATGGTGCGGAACTTTTGATCCCAAGCTCAAAGAAGAAGATGGTCAAAAAGAACAATTATGCACGACATCTTCAACCAGACTTACAGTAGAACTTGATTCCATATGTGGTGGTTCTCCACCGGCTCTCCCGAGAGATCAGCAGACGATGAGTCGATGCTGAGGGCGGAGTGGCTGGAGGCGTTAGTGAAGGAGGTGGCGTTGGAGATGGACATGTCGGCTTCGTCGTACGTCGATGCCTGGTCGGGGCGGCGGTCCGGCGGCGGGAAGTACCGGGTCACGGTGCTCCAAGAGAATGGGTTGGCGTTGACCTCCCACCAGCTGTGGGCGGCCGTCGACGAGCTTGCGACCGAGACCTCGGGTCCTTCTTGAGCCATGGCGGCGTGCATGGCGGGGGGAGCGTTAGAGGAGAGGAAAGGGTTCCCTTCGGGTGTCGTTGGAGGCTTGTGGGTTTATAGGCAAGATCACGGCCGCGGTGGCGTGACGTCAGCTTGTGGGCATTGGAAATACTCGTGGTGGAGATCAGAGATGGGGTGGGGTGGGATGGGAGGAGATGGAGGATGGGGGACAGCGAAGTGTGCAGAACTCGTGTTATCGCCACTTCGCTTGTGGGCAATTATTTTGGTGGTGTTAGCCCCATCAAATTCCTCTCTCTCTCTCTCTCTCTCTCTCTCTCTCTGAATCTTCAAATCATATGAATGATCAGGTTAACTATATGTGCATGCTTATGTTTTTGTTGATACGAATGATTAGGTCTCTCTGCTAATGGTGCAAAGGCTGAGGAATCTGCACGGAGCATGCACTCACAAGAATCAAGAACTGGGAACTCAAAGCTCCAAAATTATTTATCACTGGTTGATGCAATCAATGTCACGCATATATCTGTCACAAAGAAAGATTAGATTGTTGTGATCAAAATTAGGACGTGAAGACCCAAGGAATCATGATGCTGCACTGAGGTCAAGCTCGGTGGTGGAGGTGGTGGAGAGATGGAGATGTCAAGGCTGCAATCGATGGTTCCCAACACTGCCTTCTTCCACAAATCCAAGCAGGCTGAAACGAGGTGGTGTGAGTGCAGCCGTACGTGACAAGTGGAAATAGGAAAAAGGCGTACAGATGCCCAGTCCTACACAAGAATGTGTTCTGAAGCCTCTAATTGTTAGCTCAAAAGAAGAGCAAGGCATCGGTGTGTGTCTCTGTGACAGTGGAGTACAACTAGTCAACTACAGAAAGAGAAACCTTACATGATTAGGTTTAAGCGCCTGCTTGTTATATCCATAACAGCAAAACTAGGGTTTCCGAAAGAGAAAGAAAGAGCATTCAACTTCGGCTCAGATATGACCGACCACAGAGTCTACCTACGTATATAGATAGATAAGTGGTAAGCATGCAGGGAGTGAAGCAGCCTAGTGCAGAATGTTAGTCTCATGCTCTTCGCAGGGTCCATGGTGGTGACATCTCCTTCTCACTGGGTTTCCAGGAACCACATGAACTTGGCCAATGTCTGCTACCAAAGGAACAAGCGTGGCACGTTCATTTTCCTTCCTGAATCCGTACATCGTGAGCATCACCATCATCAATCTACTACTCACTCTCTCTCATCTTAATCAGCATCAAGAAGAAAAATGATCAAGAAGGCCTCTTGTTCGAAAAGGTTGGGATAAGAAACGGGGAGGTGGTGGCTTCCCCAACTCAACAGGAGGGCAACGTGACATCTACTTCCACTAGAATTCGCTTTGGAGCACTTGCAAGCTTCTTTCGCTCTCCATCTTCTTCGTCCACATTCTTCTACCTTCCTAAATGCGTTGCGAACAAAAAGGAGAAGAAGCCACTTGCGGGCTCTAATAATCACACTAGTTTAACGCTGTGATGTGGCCATCAGGATGAGATTAATTAGCTTGACTTTAATTAGGTCAAGGAATTGGACATCCCCAAAAAAAAATGCTGTGATGTGGACATCAACCCATCTCTCTCTCTCTCTCTCTCTCTCTCTCTCTCTCTCTCTCTCTTCTTCTGGCTGGATAAAATGTAGTTAATAGTGTTGTAATTCCGATATATGATCTACTTTGCATGGAGGCTAAATGAACTCATCTATCTCAGACTGCATGATGAACAATATCATCTCTCTAAACCTCCATTTGCATGTGTCCACGTCAATTAGCCTTTAGCAAGACAAAACAAAACCCAACCTCTCAACATCAAAGCATTCTTTGAATAGATGAAGAAGGCCAGTTAACACCAACCAAAAGCTTAATTGAGACCATTATCTCCTTAGTGTAACCTTTCTGTCGTATAGTTAAGGGCATTAGATCAAAGAGTGGAAAGCTTCAACCCCTCCAATGGTGGGTGGACAACAGGATGAGACAGGATCCCGAAGCAACAAGCACGCGAAACCTTCCCCGTTGGAAAAGCTAAAACAACATATGACAGGGTTTGGTTACTTGGTCACCGGCAATCCAAGGAGTGCATCATCTTTTCCTCAACCCTGTTTATAGGGCTATGGAGAAACTTCCTTCTTTCTCATAAAGCTACAAATGTATTCCTCCAGTGTTTTATTTATTTATATATATATATAATAAATAAAACTAAGATTACTAAATTGGAGGAAAAGAGGGGAGATTTATTGAAGTCTGCATCCCAATCTTTTTAAAGGCAAAGACAAGTTGAATGTGAAGGCCTGCCCACCTTCCCACTAAGGTTGGTGTTGGTGGGGATGGCTGCATAGGTGTGATGGTGACAAGAATGGGTTTCGTATGTGAAAGAACATATGGTCGGTAAAGGAGCTTTAGGAGGTGGATGACATAAAGATGTGGCGTGGTGAGATGATGAGGAAGGGGGGTGTTGGGTGTCGGAAGAACGAATGGGTTATGCATGTCAACGGGATCAAGCAGAGTCCTTTCGATGGAGAAGAGTGCAGAGAGATTTTAAAAAGGTGGAGTGATGGGATTTTGGATCGATCGATGGATTGATGACAGTGCCATCGCGTTGGCTCGAATCGATTCAACCGTGTAGTAATTAATCGGCGAATGTTTTGAGTGTATCGACAGTTCAACGCGATCTCAGGCAGAAGAAATAGATATCATGTAGAAACATCTTTAATTCAGTGGTGTGCGTACATGAATAATGTGTTACAGCTAATTGACGTTGCGACACCACTACTAAAGGCATCAGCACAGTTAATTTACACGACAGCAGATGGAAAGGGAAGAAAAACCTGGAGGTCTCTGGTGTCACCAGGGTTGGAATGAATCTCCATTACATTCAAAGACTTGCCCCAGTGATGGTGGTCAGATAGTGTGATCCAGAAGAGCACCTGACATGATCAGCAGCAAACATAAAAGGGTATTATAACGAAAACAAAACATGTAAAATGAAGAAGACATCACACTCGAGAAAAAGTACTTCATTTGCCCATTCTTAAGCAATCCATTAAGTATGCAAGTAAACGTTCAAAAGTATTTGAGAAGGAACCATATTTCTTCTTGAAAGAAGAAACATCTCTTCTTTTGAGAAGAGATACCCTTCGATTGAGACCCAAAACTCCATAGCATTTGAGAAGGAACCATATTTCTTCTTGAAAGAAAGTTCATCGAGCCAACAAGTAAACATCTCTTGCTTGCCAATAGTGCAGTTGAAAGAGGCAAATAATAGCATCACAGATTTTTTTTTTTTCAAAAAAAAAAAGCAGATGAAAATGAAGGTTTTAAAGTAAAACTTCTATCCTGATCACTTGTGCCAGTATATAGGATGCAGCATTCGATTAGGTCACAAAGGAACGGTAACAACTTACCAGCAAAGAACACAACAAATTAACAGGGTCATCTCTGCTTTGAGGTAACTGTTCTTGTAACAGTAGAGACTCCATCAACAAATTTGGTCCGGAATAAGACATTTGCATTGTTGAACATTCCCTCTTTAAGTGATACCACTATAAACTGCACAAGATAGCTGTGTTAATAACTATATTTTTTTTTTACTTTTTAACTTAGAGAAATGGGCATCAGAGCTGCAATCAGAGTGGATAAATTTTTGCTATCTAGGTTTGGGAATCAGGAAAATGGAATATTTCTCTGGTTCTTGTGAGCAAGTCCCAATCCATACAAGGACGTTTCAGACGATCAAAAAGTTGCCACTGATCCTGTTTTGTTTCAATCATGAAACATGACAGGCACTACTAAGAGCTACAACAACAACAGTAATACAAAACTAAATTCGGTTGTGTGCAAAGATCCTTTTCCATCATTTAGCATAATAAATAAACTACTTCAAAGCAATTGCATGAACAAAGGCTCCAAGTTTCATGGCACATCCTGTGCCAGTAACATGCAATCACAGTGCTCATATATCAGCATCAGCTGGCACAAGCAATCTCTCATCCCACTATTATGGTGCCATGACCTTATGTCAGTGAATTAGCACAATACCAGCAAAAAGCCAACACACCTGATGCGGTCCTTTGCAAATTTAACCTAAGTGCAGCTATGAGGTTTTAAGAAGTGTTTCCAACGTTCTAGAAGAATACTTTTAACAGCAAACAATTTTGTACTCTAATGAACTGTGAATTTTGGGCAAAGTAGAATATATAATATCATGATACGTACGTATAAAAGAAAAAAATTAATCAGACATCTTATAGAAGCAAAACCTGGGAGTGCGGAAAATGGGCTTTAATCATTCTTCCAATGTTTTGTGTATGGCTTAGATCAAGAGCAGCATCCACCTGAGGAAGAGAAAACACATGCCCATTAAACAACCCAATTTCTTTATCAAGATTGCACAAAATCAAGAAAGAAAAACAATTGTGTAAACAGATATTTTGGCATCTCACATATGATTATCTAATCCACACCGATTAATAGTCATGGTATTTGTTGACAAACACAAATAGTGTATGTTGGCAATTTATTTGAGCATTCCATCAATTTATTTGAGTAGTTGTTTCTTATTGTACCAACTACAAATTGGTCAGGATTCAGAAATATTTCATAGGATAATACCATCAGCGGGAAAAAATCATCTTAAATGTTCCAAATGGGAGAAGATGCATAGTTTGATATTCACTTAGTGATAAACAAGGTTAAAAATACCTCATCAAGTATATAAATTGGTGCAGGTTTAAAAAGAAGCAATGCCAAAATTAGAGAAAGCGCGAGAAGAGATCGCTGTCCTCCACTTAATTCTGAGAGAGACTGCTTCCAAACACTTCCAAATGCGACACGAACCTCCAGACCATCTAAGAAACTGCACCCTTCTGGAGCTTCTAGCTTAGCAGTTGTGCCTGGTAGAAGGGTACTAAAGATTGATCCAAAGTCCCTGCAAAGACAATTTGAAACTTGAATACAGTTCAGTTGAACAGAGAACACAAGAAACAATTTATGAAATGGTGACAGCAAGAATCACAAGCAATTTTGCAATTTTGTTCAAAACAGAGGTTAGTATTAACAGAAGAGAAAGTAAATGAAGCTTCCAAAGAAAAAGTGACCACTGACTCGTTTACTTTGACCCA